TACGTTCTGACCAAAGCACGTAAATAGAAGAGCCTGTGGTAAATGGGCTGAAGAATGTGAGGGAAAATCATTGCAACAATTGTATAAGAACTACATCATAAGAAAATAGCTGAATGAACAAGACAGCAGCCCTGTGGATTCATACACACATAGTCTACAAGTGTGCGGGGGGAAAAATTGATACAAAGTGGTTAGTGTCACTAGTCTTCCAACCAGAAGCATCTTCAGGGGAATGCATATTAAATGGATGTAAGAGACAAAACAAGGAGTGAAGGAGAGGAATTGATAGGTAAGTGGAATACTACTTGAGTGTACTTTGGGGGAGAAAAAGAAAAAAAAAAAATAAGAAAGAGTATGAGGAGTATTAAAACTGTTTTAAGAGAGCATAGATACTTGTTTTCACAAAGCTTTCAAGAGATTTTTGAGAAATCCTTTGCACGATTTAAGACCTGGACTATGTAACTGTACACATTGTTATAATACAACATCATATGTAAATACGATGCCAAACAGAGGCGGCAAAATATTTGTCAAAAATTGAAAGACAAAGTCAAGGAAAATATGAGAAAATTCCTGCCCTTGCACTTCCCTTTTTCTGAAGGTAGAGTCATCCGAGATCCTCTTTCATATGCATCAACCTCTCGCATGGGATCAATGGCACTCCCCTGAGCTGACGTTTGTTTATTTATCCTTGAGGACAACAGTAGCATGGCTGCATGCACTACTGCCCCGAGATGTTATCCCTTCCCAGAATATTTACATGGCTGTCAAAACATTCCAGTTATTCCCTTAATTGAGTGAAGGTGCCAGACAGAGAAGCCAACTAAATTAACAAAAAAATACTATTTTAACAGAAATAAGGAAATAAAATTGAAAAAAAATTGCAATAGAATAACTTAAGATCATATCCACCAGTATCTGGAGTAGTAGGCAGATGAACGGGAATGTTACAAAATGGTACCTACTTAAAATCAGAATTATGTGAAGGTAACTTTATCTTTCCTAAATATATCATTTCTGTACAGAGTTCTCAGTCTGGGAAATCTCAAAAGTAAACAAAGGGGCTGGAGGGGGAGGAGGAGAATACTGCAACAGGCAAAAATAATAAAAAAACATTTATACATGCGTTTCTCTGTATTTATAGATTACACATTTATAAATTCTCTTAAACAGAAAGCAGTCAAGCTGGTAGACAGAACCAGCAGGGTCACAAATTCTAAATCAAAAGTAGCTAACAGAAAAGTACTTTGATCTTGTACAGATTTGAGAGGAGTTCAGGGTAATGCAATATACATACCACAGAAATTCCCATGATACCCAGACTGGCATATGCATTTACAGCTATCAGTGTTCAAATATCCTTCATTATAGCACTTTTCCCCATGGCAGCATATTCTTTGGTTTGTCCATGTTTGGGGAGGTGCTGTGAAGATTAAATCAGTTTTAAAACCTATTTGAATAAAAGAATAAGTATTTATTTATACTTAAATTTGTATTCATTTTGTCAGAATCATTTATAGACAGGTTGATTTTTCAGTTAGTAACTCAACCAACCAGTTGCTTTAGAAGTTCACTATAATTAGCTTTTATGAATCTATCATTATTCACAGACCATCTTGGAACAAATGAACAAAAATATTTTTAAGCATTCATGTTGTTGAGTACGAAGAATATGGCAGATCATATATCATTTTCATGCAACTTAGGAAAATCTATGCATTTTAAAATATCATTCTGCTACAGTAACTTGTCAACTTTCAAAAGTGACAGTAATTACAATAATTGTTATTTTTTATCTTACTTATGCAATGCTCTTCTGCTCTAACCACAAAAAAATAGTGTTAGTTATGTCCATAAAAATGGCATTGTACTAGCTTGGAAAAAAAAAAATAGTGATCCAAAGAGATAATATTTAATACCATTGTTTCATTAGCCAACATGCCATTGATCCATTTCCACAGCCACAGGTGTAGCAATCACAAATTCAATTCTTCTTGTCTCTCCTATTGCAAAGAACTTTTGTATTCTGATTAGTTCATTTGTTCTCAATCCTATGTTCACTGAACTTAATGGCAAAGCAGCACCCATGGATTGCAATGATACAGAGGTATGAATCACAAAGGTTTCCTATTTCTCAAAAGCGAGGCACGCTAGCAAGTATGTAGCTACCAAGCAATTTTAAATATTTCACCCCATGTCTATAGATTTACTGAAAGTACAGTAATCCCAGTTGGAAGCAATTACAATTACTCACTGCAGTGCCCACATTTAGCTCGGCACAAGTCTAGCTGTATTTGTGGGCAATTTACTTGATGCATTCCAGCACAGAAAGGCTCATTAGAATTTCTGCAAAGCTCTGTAACATCCAGAGTTCAGGCGACAAAAAGTTAATGCAAAAAACATTAATGATACATAAATCTTGATGTGCAAGCATTGACAATTTTAATATTACCACAATGTAACTTTGTTTCAGAAGTATTTGTATTTACTGAATAAGGTATGCTCTCTTCCTTACGGGCAATTTTCACTACGGTGGTCATTACTGAATATTCTTCCTGAAGTTCTTCACAGGGAAGAACAGACACAGAGCAAAGATCTGGATCAACTTCAGATTGTACAGTACCAACCAAGAGCTCTGCAGCCAAATTAGCTATGATCAGTGTCAGGCAGGCCTAAAGCCAGTGGTGCCAAGACAGCCCCAAATCTATTTTTATGCTCTCCTGAGGGCCCCGCGTTCAGAGTTGCTGAAATACAGAAACCAGCAGCAGTTGCATAATCAATTTAAGTGAAATCATTTGGAAATTATTAAGTCAGAGATTCAACAAGATGGTATCAAAAGAAGTGAGTAAATCCTTCTCTTATTTCTAGTCATGTAACACCGAATTTGGACCACTGCATCTAAACTACAGTGTTAGGTCTGTAGCACCTTTTTAAGAGACATGCTAACTCATAGCAGTCTTGGGCTCTAATCATTCCAAATTTGTGTTTGCAACTACTTATTCATTAATTCTCCCCTAATCTTCCAGGTTCTGCTTCCACAGACCGCAGCCAGAGAGACTGCCAGAAGAAATAGCAATTGACCGCATGGAAAATAATATTAAAGGAGCACATGAAGTTCACCCTGTTCTTGCCATCTTAGAACAGGGGCAGATTTTGGCCATGGCAACCAAGGCAGTATACTCATTTTGACCAAGTGCCCCAAGTTAACTATTCACCGAACGGCTTATTTTTCTGGGTAGTCAAAGAACTGCAGGACACAGAGACCTGTATATCTTTTCGGCCGGTTAGAGTCGAGAAGTAAAAGTCCTGAGCACTTTTTTTTGTTATTCAATATGCAAATCTTACATACTCTAGTTTCACTTAAGGAATTTGCTAGAAATACCTTGGATAAATTTTCTCAGGCAAAAGAAAAGGATGCCATGTGATAATGGTACCTGAACAGTCTGCATAATCCTAATCTTCATCACACACGTGTGTGCAGTTATAGTGATAAGGACACACAGCTCTTACACTTTAAAGGACATTCTATTAGAAAACAAAAGAACAAACTTTAGAACTCAGCTAATATAGATAATACAAGGATTGGGTTTGGGTTGCTTTAAAGGTAGGGAAATAATAGGATATTGGTACCCTGGCTCAATTAAGATAATGCATCGATGCATTATTTATTATGTAAAGATAACCCAAATGACCATGAGAGGCACTGAATAAAAGAGCATAACCCATACCAGGGAAAAAACTGAGTGATTCTGTTTTGCCTAAAAATGACACACAAATTAAAGGAAGTCTAGTACTGAAAACAACAGCCACTTAGGGCTGGCCAAACAGAACTGACTTAACATGTTATTTGACAATTTCTGTAACTGACAGTAAATATTTATTCTAACAGAAAAGCACTATATATAATATAATTCATGAGAAATAAACACACAAAGTTAATTGAATAGTTTATATCAGACATTTTTCCAAAAATAAACCCAATTCCATAATAATTAGGGACACTGTAATAAATTGTTTCTGGGCTATGACGTTCTAGTATGTTCATTCAGCGAGATATGTCAAATGAAATTATAGGTATAAATGGTCATATTATTTGCTCTTATGATAGTTTCGACCATTACATTTTGCTATCATGGGAGAAAAAGAGACAAAGATTTTTAATGTATATAGTATACATACTAAAAAGCACATTTGTTTAAAAAAATCATCCAGAAACAGTACCTAATCAACCTTTATGTCATAAAAAAGCTGTAATTCAGATGACAATTTAAAAATACTTCTTGTGTTAAAATATTGTCAAGAGATTTTCAGAAAAACTCAGCACTCAACAGTTTCCATTGACAACAATGAGAGCTCAACACATGCTCTGGCAGGAATAACGTGAGGGCTAATTGTGTTTAGTCATATGTAAGTAAAGAATAATCATAAATACTACAGCAGATAAGGACAGACCTTGTTGTTTTGATGGCACTGCACAGTTAATAACACAGGAAAAACTCTACCCACACAGCTTGGCTTGATTCATCTTTTCCTCCCTTCATTATGAGTCAGATTCTTTATTATCTTTTTATTGAATGAAAACCTGACTACAGCGCAGTCAGTGGGAGTTTTGCCATTGACGTCAGTGAGGTCAATTCTTGATTACCTCACCAGCTAATATTAAAAATATTCTTGTATATTTAAACCTTAATTATAGCTTAACTACAGTTTTTTGAAGGAAATAAAAGACCTGTTGCAAAAAGGAAGGACAGATGCCTCCCTGTTTCATATACCTCAGGTGTTATCTTTCAAATGACTTAAAACAGAGGTAAGTTGCTGGCCCTCCTGTTGTTGCTGAATGCATTATAACTTGCATGTTGGCCCTTCCAATGAGTGAAACAGAAGTTCCCACAACCACGTTAGTAGTACGTGTGTGCCCGTGCAATCTTACATCTCCAGGATTAGAAAAGCAGCGTCCTGGAACAAAGCTCATGTAGATGAACCCAGAGCAAAGCACTCACCTGCAGGGATCATGCTGCAGGTTCCACAGCCCCATCTGCAATGTCTGCACCTCACTACCTTAACCATAATGAGAGAGATGTACAGAGATTGAGCAGAGACCACAGCCGTTAATAAATACCTTCAAAATATACTAAATTTCAACTCATTTGAGGATTGAAAGGCTCTTTAGCTGAAAAGGAACGTTACATGTAGGAGGCCTTAACATTGTAGATTTTATTTCATAGATGTAAACAACACTTGCCCTTTGCTCAAGGTAATTGTTTTTAAAATAGTTCTCAAAATGAACAATAAGGCTATATACATGTAACAGAGTTTTAGGCAACATTTTTACAGGCATGTGTTTCTTACTGCAAAGTCCATTTTCACACCACCTGGATCACACTTAGGATACGGGTCTCCTGTGATAACAAACTTATCACACTTAGGATACGGGTCTCCTGTGATGACAGGCTGCATATCTTTCAAATCTATACTGCTCCTACACAAAAACAAGATATAAAAATTAATTTTTAGGTATACACATTTGTTAATCCATTTATAAGTTATTGGAATAGAAATAGAAGGTTAAGCTGAAAATAAACTGAATTGTAATGGCTTCACCATCTAATAAAACAAATCCAAATTGCCAAGGTAGGCAATTTAAATTTAAAACACGAGAAGTTAAAACACCTTCAAGAAAGTAAACTTCTGAACATGAGCCAAGCATAGCTAATGAAATAACATTTTTCAGAGTGATCAAAGAACATCTCCAAAACTGCCTCACTTCTCCCGCTGGTCCCACAGAACCCCACGTTTTGCAGCCATGGATTTCAGCTTTTTGGATGAAAAATTCTTCATTTTGCTGCAGGAAGGCACACAACTTGCAATTTTCTAGCTAACTTGTCTCCCTGCTTGAAGAATCTTGGTTTTCACTCTGAACTGAAATACAGCCAAGCTTTTAAAAACTTCCCCCCGCCTCCCCCCCCCTGTTCAGGTGTACTTACAAGCTGGGTTGACTGGAGAACGGAGCAACACAGGTCCTAAATGGGAAGAATCTAAATTGCTCAGTGCCCGTCTCTTTCTTTCTCTGCTGCTGCCCTCTGTTGTGTTTTCTGTCTTTTAAGTGACATTCTATGGGATATCTATCTCTAAGTTCACAGGCTGGTTTTACCTCCATAAAGGTCTGCACTGTAAATATCAATAGCAGAATACATACGACAGACTGATCTGGTGGGTGATGGGGGCAAGTCACTTTAATGTCATTGCTTATTGAGAAGAAAGTGTCTTATTTTGTAAGAACAGACAAAACCTTACAACAAGCCTACAAGTAACAAGTATCATTTCTGCAAATTACTTACAAATTAAACCATCCATCCCAGTATTTTCTACAAGCAGCAAAGCAATACCTGGAAAATGTCTTTGTTTTCCAATATGCAGACTACAGTATCCCAAACAGGTCCCCCTGCCCCACAAAGTTCAGAGCTGACATATTACACTCTGGCATGACACATACATCACATCACATTCTACAGGCATGACACCATTTAACTGGACATGCCTGTTGAAGCATGACACATCACAGAACAGCATGTCAGGAAATACGAAAGGGCACTCTCACAAACTGGGGTTAACAGGCACTGTGGCTTCACTCGATGTTTTCATCAAATGTTTTCACCCAAATCTTTGTGAATAACATGCAGGCAGCAATGCCAGCTCACAGGCAAACTGGAAAATATCTTCCCCTAAGCCCATAGTCACTGCTGCAATAAACAGCCACTAAACATCTGACTGCCTCTAATATTTTCCTTCTTTAGGCAACTGTCCCTATGATAAGGATGTCTCCAACATGCACATCTGCCTGCAGGAGTCACTTCACTTTTTCCTATTCACAGACATGGAGAAATGAAAAATTAAATTTGATCAGGTCTGTATGTGAGAGTTCAAGACCCCGAGCTGGAAATCACTAGAGGCTGGTAGGGTATTCTGGCAAAATATCACTGCATGTTTGCCCTATGCTTATGTTCTGCCCTAGGTGTGCTATCGGCCACGGTTATAGAGAGGACAGTGGGCTAGATGCACCTTTGGTCTGATTCAATTTGAGTATAGTTACTTTCTTATGTTAAGTGATACTTAACATACTCAACTTCATTGAGTCAGTAGCACGGAGCCACCACGACTGCGATAAGTTCTGGATACAACTTCACAGAACAAGCTGGTTATGAAACTCCTAGGAAAATTATTAGTGACAACAGCACAGGAGTTAAAGATCTTCCGGAGCAATTCCTTCCACTTTGAGAATTCTTTAAAATATCAGACACTGGCTTTTTATTTCACCATTTCACATTATTTTTATATAAATGCTAAGCTGTTGAGATTCTACTTCATGTGTTATTCTTCTATAGCACCTTGATAGAATCTCAGCAGCTGATTCTCAGAAACAGGTTAGTTTTGTGCTCCTAATTCAGCTATAAATCAATAACAGGTACAAATTATGGAGTTTTGCCAACTGTCTAAGGTAAAAGATTATTAAAAATATACTTACCAGGATAACCTAAATTTATCACCCTACAGCTCCTTAGAGCTACTGTATATGCTGTGGTTAAGGCAAATAAAGTATGCCAATATATCATCTTTTTCCACCACTGGTGTACACCTTACGCATGCAAGTCAAATATTAAGTGTTCAAATTATGTCAGTTAGACACCAAAAGCGTGTCTCAGCAGCAGCTGAGAACAAAGCTAGAATCTAAGCTGACCCCTCTCAAAATGTAGTTCCTGGGCTTTAAAAGTCACTTGGCCCAATCCAGAGCTCTGTAAAGCAGTGTTATTTCAATAGTTTAATCTCCTGTTTAAAAAATAAATACTCTCATGAGAACACATTTTCCAGTGATGTAGCTGCTGTTAGAAAACAAAAGGAAACATACTTTATTTGTGAATATACAGGCAGTCAGATTCCTTGTTTCTCTCTTTCTCACCTCAGTAAATTCGCCACCACTGGGATAAAGCATGAAAAGCTGCTAGAATGCAAAATTCTCTTCCAATGACATACATAAAAAGGTATTTTATTTATTCATCCAAAGTTTATTTTTAAGGCTTTCATAAAAGCCCGGAACTATGGTCTTTTCTATTCCAGATGGAAAGTGTTTTATTAGACTAATTCAAGACAAGGCTTTACTTTCAACTCATAACTCATGAGAATGTCACATGAAAACCATTAAGCAGGTTCAGGCCAGAGCACTGCTATACCTGGTTCATGCTGGAGTCACTTGACCAAGTTCTTTTGGCATGTATTTTGCATGTTTAGTATTTAAACCATACAAGAGGACGTCAAAGGCAGGTGTCATATAAACAGTCACTGAATATCCAGAGGCAACATATTTAATTACAAAACCTCTGCCTTTCTAAACTGAAGGTCTTTTTGCCAAGATTGAGACTGCAGTGTACTACAGTGGGGCTTTGGTTACAGACTACGTGTGAACAATCCAGAGCCTCCTGACCCGTTCGTGAATCCATGCCTCACGTATTTTGTCCTTGCCCACACAAGCTAGAAAATTAAGGTAAACATGAGTAACAATTAAGAAAACAGAGTCCATGTGTTTTCTTAACGAACAGTTACTGCTCAAGAACTTACACTGTTTACTTCATCCCAAATTTTCAAAGGCAGGTGGATTTGCTCTCCCAGCTTAAATAATAAAACAGTATATTTGCTATTGGCAATTAAATTATTCTTTAGTTCCACCTTAATATGATTTCAGAGATTCATTACAGCTCTAAAAATGTTGAACACTGTATGCTCTGTGGATAAAAGGACCAGAGCACAATTAACAATTCTAGGGATTTGTGTCTATCGCATGAATTGGTCAGGGTCATATGCGAGCTCCTATAATATGCTTTAACAAAAGGTTATAGTTTATCATACTTAACTGGCAAGGATTCCCTGTCTTTACCAGGTGTTAATTTGTTCCATTTGAAGGAGGCAGTCATTATGGGAACATGTCATAAGAAATATGATATGCATCCTTTCTTACAGATTGTGGCCACTTGGATGGGTTTGGCATCCAAAAATAGCATTTTTTACAATTAGAAAGATTTTAAAGTATTTTCTAAATACTTGTCGTAAGCTACCTATTACACCTACCTCTTCTCAGGCTATATCAAGCATATATTGATATAATAATCACACCCCTTCATGTAAAACGTTGCAATATTTTGAGATATTAAAAAAGGAAAAGTATCTTGACAGAAAAATACTGGCCTGTGAAAACATCTATTACATATATTTCTGTAGGCAAACATAAAGTAATCTGAATAGCTAATAAGCACCTTCAACAAAAAGACTAAACAGTCCTACATACTAAATTTTCAAGGAACACCTTTACTTAAACCCTTCAAGAGTTTTATTTGCAAGTTGATTTTCTACCCCATCAATGAGATGAAGTCAGTCAGGCCCTTTTTCCCAGAAATAGTCCAAATGCATCTGTGAACATTGCCAGCACTAGTGCAGAGGCTTAGTACCAGCATGACCTAACTGCAGAAAGACTGAACTTACTGAGAGGAAAAATAAAAACATGGTTTCAATAATATTGATTTTATCCAAAAGCTCAAAGTGCTTCATACAACATTAATTAACTCTCCCAGCAACTCTGTGAGATCAGTAAGTATTATTACAATTTTGCAGATGGCAAAAGAGATCAAAAGTTAAGAGCAGTGTGTCCAGAGCCAAACAGCAGCTGAAGAGCAAAGAGCAGGTCTCTTGATGCGCAAGGCCAGTCTGACCAGGCTCTCTCTTCCTTGTTGGGAATTAAACAGATCATGCTTGATTATATGTGTATTTTCAAATACAAAATTGCAAATACCAGTAGCGTAAGGGCCAGGGGGTCTATGAGCCCCACTTGCTGTATTTGAGAGCAACTGATGACATGATTATCTACAGAGTACAACTGCTTTACTTCACTGGTTATTGATGTGATGGTGTAACATTTGGGTGGGGAGTGGGAGAAGGAAGCTTATTCAGATCATGTTAAAATAAAAATGCAAATATTTATGCAAAGACAGCTGTTACTACCTGCTACCTGACAAACCACATATAAGCTTTAATGCAGCTTTAACACTATTGACAAATCTGTAACTACACTTTAGATTTAAGTGGCCTTCATCCGGCCTATTCCCACATGTAAACATAAAAGAAAAAACAAAACCAAAAAACCATACACACTCAACACGCACATTTAGCTTAAGTGTTAGGGATTTGTTTAGTAGTTTTGAACTACCTTAGAAACCTATCCTTGTAGAGTTTCACACGATAAATAATATAGAATCTTTTTGGCATGAGTAGTATTCTGACATTTTAACAGAGGTTTGTTTTTTTATCACATGCATTAAAACACTTTACACAATCACACTGATGAGTAAGTTTCTTTGGTTTCTCGCTCTAGCTCTCAACTTAGGAACTAAATCTTATTTGTAACAGAAGAACAGCTGAAGGCCTTAATCCTCCAAAAACTTTTGTATGGGAGTAGTTTCACTGAAGTTAGCTGGACTGACTGAATAGTCCAGCTGACTACTCCTGCAAGGAAAATGAGTGAGGTGATGTAGCGCTCAGCCAAAATCGAGGGCAATTTCAACAGGTATAGGCACCACTTCCATTTGTGAACCAGAATCTACCCATATTTCCTGTTTGGGGACACTCAAAAAACTCGACCTTTTTGGAGACAGTTGAATTTTGCATGCTCTGTAGACAGCACTTACCCTTCCTCCTTGCAATTGTACACAAAGGACAAAAGGTAGTGCAAAATGTTGGGAAAAGGGAACGAGGAAAGCAAACAGACTTACACCTTTTTAGGCTGACATATTACAGTCTGAAAGTACCCAAAGCCCCTCTGCAAGGAAAAGGCTGGTGGCAAATCTTGGATATAACTGAACACTGAGATATTGTTACTGTCAGCAAAACAGGCAAATCTAAGTGAACTTCACATTGTTGAATTTCTTATTCACGTTGTTACTTAAGTAAGAAATACAGCAAATTGTCCAGCACAGCAGGCCCTTCACCCATACCCTCTGGGCAGCCAGTGAAAGCTCAGTGCTCACATGAAGGGATTTCCCAAATACATATTTAAAACATGCAAGCATGAGCCAAAACAAACAACCTGTATTATGTATTTATATATTAAATCTATGCAAAAAAATATGCCACAGTTCACTCAATTTGCTTAAATATTGGCTTAAAATATTACTTCCTGGGTAAGTATGCAGATCACCCTAGAAATCTGTTACAGAAGGCAGGGGTCCATGTTTGTAACTAATATATAAAAATACGGAGTCACTCTTACAGAATCCAGACGAATCAGGTCTGTGCTCATGAACTGATGCAGATGCCAATTTTGCCCTCCTTCCTCAAACGTTTTGAGGCTTTTTTTAGGGTGCCCATGTTGAAGTACACAGTGACCAGCCCACTCCGGTGCCATCCTGGCTGGCTCATCATGCCATTCCTGCTGATGCATCAAAAAAGAGTGTTAACGATTTTGATACAAACACCTAGATACTCACTAACATTGGTGGTTCCCATCTACAAGCTAAAGAACAGAAACTAGATGGAAACTAGCAGAGTAACAGCACATAGAAATATCCAGAATAAAGAACCCCCAAGTCATCTCTCTCTACTGTGCAAGAGCTGAGAACAAGTCCATTTGATTACAAACAGCATGTCCAAAAACTACCAGAGTATTTGTTTTTCTTTGTTCTTCATTTCAGGCACTATTCTCCTAATGCACAAAAAAAGCTGCAAGTGGAGGAAGTGGGGCCCTAAAAGGAAAGAAAGAAGTGTCCAGCAAGCACCATCCCAACAGCCAAATCCCGAGAGGCTATGGGGTCCACGCGCGGGGAGGCAGGGCGGACACAGACATGCCTCTTCCCTACACACCACCCAGCCAACCCTTTCCTCCAGAGTGGAGTTTGGTCCCGTGGTGTCACTGTTCGCGACTGCAGGATTTATTTGACATTAAAGTGCTGGGTTTTCTTCATACTAAAATTTCACAGGTCCATGGACTCTGCACCTCATCTGTGGCTCAAAATCAGTGCTAGAAAGTTACGTGATTTTGCATCAGCTACAAAGGTCAGAGGAACAGAAACATCCTCACAAGATTTTAATTTTCAAAATTCTTGTTTCCTGCAGGATCCAAAGTGCCACTGGTTGAGGAGCAGTAGGGCACCTGGCTGACATTCACTGCAGCTTCTTTTCCCCAAATCTTCCTTAATTTGCACTTTCCAATTGTCTTAAACTCTAGTTCTTTTTGTTTTCTTTTAGACAATGCCAACCTATGGGAGGTTAATCCCAAGATACTCCTAAATTTTGAAAAACATATTGCAACTTGCAATTATGGTTTACTTATATTTTTCACATATCAAATACTATCTATGTTGCAACTTTACAGTAAATACTTCTCAAAGAAAGATTCCTGCAGGTAAATGTTGTAACCAAAGATGCTCATCGTGGACATTAGACTTACATATTGCATTTGGGGCTACTCACAGCTGTGATTTGCCCGCAGGTCTGAGTCCTGAAAATCTGACCCTCCAAATATGCCAGTGAATCCATTTATTCCCATCACTGCTGTGCGAGCCCAAAAAAATGCCCGAGGATACGGCTGCTAAGCTGGGACTTGTATTAATGGGTTTTAAGCCTTTTGTCTTTAGATCTGAGGATGGATTCTGCCTTTGTTTACAGTAACACAAATTTGGAATAATTTCACTGAACTTGATTCGCAAGCTTAACAGGGCAGGATTTGGCCTTTGATTTTTAAAGATGTCTAGGAAAACCTTCTGTCCCTCTGCTGTGCCACTAATTACATGGAGAACAGCACAGAGCACTTACTACAACTTTCACTTGGAAAAGACAGAATTTATGTAACACAAGCAAGTAAGAAGAGGTGAAAGGTAGGTCTCGGTACCGATGGGTGACAAAAGCCTCAGCATCAGACACCTAGCCAACGTGCACTCAAACTGGGGGGGGGGGGGGGGGGGGCAGGAGAAGAGTTTTTTTTTTAG